GAGGCTGATATGTACTGCTGCACCTGGCCCCACCCTGGGGCTGCCAGATGACAGCACCACAACATTTTCCTTTTTCAAAAAAATTTATTATTTATTTATTTATTTTCCTTTTTCTTTCAAAACCACCATCAGAAGAAACCACAGCATTTTCAATAGATGACCCGTCTGGGAAGAGGAGGGACAAATGTGCCATGGCCATTATGGAGAACAAACACCTATGCAGTTGGAGAATGCTAAAGACACGCAAGGGTGTCGTCCTGTCCCTCCTGAGAGAAGCTAAAAAGATCCAGGCTTAGAGTGCTACAGAAATAGAGATTTTTGGATATAAAATAAAAAGGAAGGATTTCCTAACTATCTCCAGGGCTATCAGGTATTGATATGACTTATTTGTGAACACAGTTGTATGGAATTATTATGTGGCAAAGATGAAGATCATGCTGGAATGTCTTTCATGTATCCCTTGGTGGAGGCAGTGGGCAGCGTGAAGGCACAAGATAGCTGGTGAAGTCTTTAACCTTGTGGCCTGGAGGCCACATGATAGAGTGGCAGTGTCTCATTCTTCTCTATATGCTTGGGCCCTCATTCTGTTTTCTCACATTCACTCCATCCTAGTGTATTCTTGGATTGTCTCCTTCCCCTTGAGATTCTGCTTCTAACTAAAGCCAAATATCAGACCAACTTTACCTGTCTCATTATACCAATCACAGGCAGATTCTGTATCTTTCTTCTTTTTAAGACAGAGCCTTGCTCTGTTGCCCAGGCTGGAGTGCAGTAGTACAATCACAGCTCACTGCTGCCTGAAACTCCTGGGCTCCAGCGACCCTCCCCGCTCGGCCTCCCAAGTAGCTGGTACTATAGGTACGCCACATTACGCCTTGCTTAATTTTCTAACTTTTAGTAGAGACGAGGTCTGCTATGTTGCCCAAGCCAGTCTCCAACTTGAGGGCTCAAGTGATCCTCCTGCCTTGGCCTCCCAAAGTGCTGGGAATATAGGTATGAGCCACTGTATCTGGCCTACCTTTCTTTTTACCTTTTATTTTTTTGAGATGGAGTCTTGCTCCTGTCGTACAGGCTGGAGTGCAGTGGCGCAATCTTGGCTCACTGCAACCTCCACCTCCCAGGTCCAAGCGATTCTCCTCCCGAGTAGCTGGGATTACAGGCACACACCACCATGCCTGGCTAATTTTTGTATTTTTAGTAGAGATGGAGTTTCGTCATATTGGCCAGGCTGGTCTCGAACTCCTGACCTCAGGTGATCCACCTGCCTGGCCTCCCAAAGTGCTACGATTACAGGTGAGCCACCGCACCTGGCCACCATTTTTTAGACAGGGTCTCGCTTTGTTACTCAGGCTGGTGGTCAGTGTTGCAATCTTGGTTCACTGCAGCCTTGACCTCCTGGGCTCAAGTGATCCTCCCACCTCAGACCCCCAAGTAACTGGGACTACAGGCACAAGTCACCCCTCTCAGCTACATTTCTTTTTAGAGAGAAAAGATGGTTCATTAAACTTCAATATAGCCAGGCTGAAAATGTTTCAGATGTGAGACATGCGATAAACTGGCTGCACTAATGGCCCAAACAGTCTCCTTGTATCCCTGCCCTTTGCAATGCGGCTCTGCAGCTACTCCCACCAAGGGGGAAATCTACTTCCCCCTCCTTCACCACCAGCCCTGTGACTTGCTTTGACCGTGAGAATGTGACAGTTCCAGGTCTAGGCTTCAAGAGGCCCTGAGCACTTCTCTCTCTCCAAACACTGCCTCTACTGGGAACACAGTCCTGGACCGGCTGCTGGAAATGGGAGACCGGGTGAAGCAGGGATGAATCATTCCAGCTAAGGCCATCCGAGAACAGCCAGCTGCCCTGACAGCTGACAGCAGAGCCACCAGAAATCCTGCCCTAGATGGCCCAAGACCAGAACTCCCCAGCTAATTAAACTCTGCCTAAGCTGCTGATCCCCAAAATCTTAAACTAAATCAATGGTGGTTGTTTTAAGCCACTAAGTTTTGGGGTGTGTTGGAAACAGATGCTTGGTGCTGCAAAGAAAAATTAGCACTCAGACAATAGATGTTTTTACTTCCTGGACTGCAGGAAGGGTACCCTTGCTAGCCATTTTGCCAGAGAGTACAACGAACAAAGGAAAAGCAGACATATTTATCCCTAACGCATTTGGGGTTGTCCCTACTGTTGTGTCTGATCTCTGTTGGCTGGAGCTAGACCTTACAATCTAAACTAAAACCTGACTGGCTAACAACTTAAAACTTTTCTAAACAGGTAAAAGCAATGGAGAGCTGAAACATGCCTGTGAGCACGTCCAGCACAGACACCTTGGCTAAAGTACAAGGACACAGCATGGCATGTTTAACAGCTATATAAGGATAGGGCTTAACAAAGAGTTATTAGCACACTTATGATTTATTCTTTAACAAGAAAGGAAACTTTAAAGAGGAACTTTTCTACTCCCCACAGGGTGGGTTTATGTAACGTAATTCTGGTAGTAGGTAACTGTTTCAGAAGACAGGAATGGTTCTGATAATTAGAACCACAATGACTCCCATATTTATGTCACCAACAAAGGCTTCTCCCTTGAATTCCAGACCCAAGTATCTAGCCACCAACCCGACATTTCTGTAATCAGAACCAAGCTCTTGATAACACCCCAAAATTTACTCCTCCTATAGCCACAGCATTTACTGTCTTGATAAAATGGAGAACTTTTCATTTCCAGGTGCCTAGGCCTAATCCTTGCACCCTTCTTTAACATTTCCTTCTTTCACATTCCATGTCCAGTTTCTTAGCAAATCCTGTGGGCTCTACCTCCAAAATATATCCAGAATCTGCTCACTTTTCACCAACTCTGTGGCTGCTACTCTGACCCAAGCCCCCATCATCTCTTGACTGATTGTTCCAGCAGCCTCTTATTTTTTTTGTTTCCAAGTTAATTGGGCACCTTGTATGTTGCTGGGCAACCCTAACCAGGCATCTTCCACTTCACAGCCTCTGCATCTGCCCAAATCCTCTTCCCAGATAGCTGCATAGCCCACTCTCTGACCACCTTTAAGTTTCTGTCCAGATGATATCTTGTCAATATCAAGAGATCTTCCTGGCCAGGGCCGGCGGCTCACACCTGTAATCCCAGCACTCTGTGAGGCCCAAGGTGGGTGGGGTCGGGAGTTTGAGACCAGCCTGGCAAACATGGTGAAAGCATGTCTCTACTAAAATACAAAAATTAGCTGGGCATGGTGGCATGTGCCTGTAATCCCTGCTACTTGGGAGGCTGAGGCACAGAGAATCACTGGAACCTGGGAGGCAGAGGCTGCAGTGAGTCGAGATCACACTACTGCACTCCAGCCTGGGAGAGAATGAGACTCTCAAAAAAAAAAAAAAAAAAAAAGAGGCCTCCCTGGACCACCACATTTCACATTGATTCATTCATTCATTCATTCATTTAATTTTTCGAGACAGAGGATTGCTCTGTCACCCAGGCTGGAGTACAGTGGTATGATCTTGGCTCACTGCAACCTCTACCTTCTGGGTTCAAGTGATTCTTGTGCCTCAGCCTCCAGAGTAGCTGAGACTACAGGTGCACATCACCACACTCAGCCAATTTTTGTACTTTTAGTAGAGAAGAGGTTTCACCACATTGGCCATACTGGTCTCAAACTCCTGACATCAGGTGATCCACCCGCCTCAGCCTCCCAAAGTGCTGGTATTACAGGCATGAGCCACCACACCCAGCCGACCACCACATTTAAAGCTACCTTCCCACCATGGTATGCCCAACCCTCTTGTTTATTTTTTCTCTGTGACACCTATTACCATGTAACATACTAAGTATTTTACTTACTTACTTGTCATCTGTCAACCCCAATCCCATGCAAGCTTCAAGAAGGCTTGGTTTTCTCTATTTTGGTTTGCTCGCTGCTGAATCCTCAGTGGTTGATTTTCTACGTCAATTTGACTGCACCAGAGGGTGCCCAGATTAAATACTGTTTCTGGGTGTGTCTGTGAGGGCGTTTCCAGATGAGATGAGCATTTCTGGCAGTGGACTCAGTGAAGTAGATGGCAAGTGTGAGTGGACATCATCTAATCCATTGAGGGCCTGAATAGAACAAAAAAACAGGAAGGAGAAGTTCACTCCTATTGCCGCCTGCTTACCTGCTTGAGCTGGGACATTGATCTTCTCCTGCCCTTGGAATGGGATTTATACCATTGGTTCCCCCGTTCCCAGGCCTTTAAGCTTGGACTGAATTACACCACCAGTTTTTCTGGGTCTCTAGCTTGTAGATGCCAGATCATGAGACTTCCTAGCACCCATAGATATGAGCCAATTTCTCACCTGAATGCCACATCCCCTTTTTCCATCTTGGTGAAACAGCTCTCTAACAGTTTACTGAGAAGCTACTTTTTTTTTTTTTTTAGCTAGGTGTGGTGGCACACACCTGTAGTCCCAGCTACTAGGAAGGCTGAGGCAGGAGAATCACTTGAACCCGGGAGGCGGAGGTTGCAGTGAGCTGTGATCACGCCACTGCCCTCCAGCCTGGACAACAGAGTAAGACTCCATCCCCCCACCCGCCAAAAGAAATACATTTTTATATTAATTTATTTCATTTAACATGGGTCAGAATCTCCATAGAGCTTCCTTAGGTGCCTCCATAGAATAGTGAGTCTGGACCTGGGCAGACTGGGAGACTTGAGTCTTAAGTTACCAGACCTGGAGAAGATAACCTGCTCCTTACATTAAAAGGACTGTGTTCTTACTGACTGTCTTTTTGTCTTTGTTTTTTAGATGGAGTCTCATTCTGTTGCACAGGCTGTAGTGCAGTGGCATAATCTAAGCTCACTGCAACCTCTGCCTCCTGGGTTCAAGCAATTCTCCCACCTCAGCCTCCTGAGTACCTGGGATTACAGGTGCTCACAACCACATCTGGCTAATTTTTGCATTTTTAGTAAAGATGGGCCTTCACCATGTTGGCCAGGCTGGTCTTGAACTCCTGACCTCAAGTGATCTGCCCACCTTAGCCTCCCAAATTGCTGGGATTACAGGCGTGAGCCACCACGCTGAGCCTGTCTTTTTGTCTTCATAATATGTCTGCATTCCTATTTCTTGGTGCATTCTGCACTGTCACCATTGGCACCGGTGCATCCTGCCCTGTTCATGCACCACGTGTATTGTAAAAGCAAGGCAGCAAGGCACAGAAGGAGGGTGTGTGTTATTATATAACATGATGCATTGTTGGGCACAAAGCCCAAACCCTGCCACCCAACCCAGGTGGGAGTTATTACACAGTGACATTTCCCTGCAGTGTCTTGTAACATTAGACTTTCCTTTTCTTTCTTAGAATTCTTTAAAACACACTTCCCTTGTATATAAATAACTTCTTAAAATATTGGAAAGTAGCTATCCTGCCAGGTTATAGCAGGAGGTTAGCATAAGAGGAAAGCTTCAATTTCACCCCCCCCCCCCATTATTTTGTTCTTCATTTATTTAATAGCAACCTAGACTTTAATCTGAATATAGTACAAGGTTCAGGGGACACTGCAGGAGTCTGAAATCAATAGTGATGTCATTAAATTGCCTCTTTAAATCTGCTCACCCTGGCTGCTGACGCCCCTTCCTCTCCCTGCGCAAACTACAGATTCTTAACAATCAACTCTTACTTAGCGTGTGTGCTCTCTTTCTCTCTCTAATCTAACCTAAACTGTAAGAGAAAACTCTTGCTTTGCATTTTCTGACTCTCCAAAGTATCTGTGGTAAAGGATTGGTTTTCTTTCTTTTTTTTTTTTTGAGACAGAGTCTTGTTCTGTCACCCAGGCTAGAGTACAGTGGGGCCATCTCAGCTCACTGCAACCTCAGCCTCCTAAGTTCAAGCAATTCTCCTATTTCAACTTCCTGAATAGCTGGGATTATAGGCACCCGCCACCACAACCCGCTAATTTTTGTATTTTTAGTAGAGGTGGTGTTTCACCATGTTGGCCGGGCTGGTCTCAAACTCCCAACCTCAGGTGATCCACCTGCCTCCACCTCCCAAAATGCTGGGATTACAGGCATGAGCCACTGTGCTCATCCTCTATTTTTTTTTTAGTAGAGATGGTATTTCACCTGACCTCAGGTGATCTGCCCGCCTTGGCCTCCCAAAGTGTTGGGATTACAGGCATGAGCCACCATACCTGGCCTGACCTGACTTGCAAAACTTCCACAGTATGCCCCAAATCTACTTTAGAAAAATCATCAGAAAACTCAGTTTTCCTTCTCTCATTCTCTTTTTTTTTTTCTTTTGAGATGCAGTCTCCCTGTGTGGCCCAGTCTGGAGTGCAGTGGTGCGATCTCGGTTCACTGCAATCTCCACCTCCTGGGTTCAAGCGATTCTCCTGCCTCAGCCTCCCGAGCAGCTGGTACCACAGGCACATACCACCATGCCTGGTTAATTGTTCTGTATTTTTAATGCAGACGGGGGTTCCTCCATGTTGACCAGGCTGGTCTGGAACTCCTGACCTCAGGTTACCAGCCCACTTTGGCCTCCCAAAGTGCTGGAATTACAGGCATGAGCCACTGCACCTGGCCAGAAGATCCAGTTTTCAAAAACAAATAAATAAATAATAAAAATCAACATTATTGTGTTATAATTTATATACAATAAACTGCATCCATTTACATTGTATACTTTGATGAGTTTTGATGGCTCTGTATGCCCATGAAATCACCACCACAATCAAGCTACAGAGCATTTCCATCGTTCCCAAAAAGTTCCTACTGCCCCTAGTTCTAAGCAGCTACTTAGAACCATTTAGAAAGTTTTTGTCGGCCAGGTGTGGTGGCTCAGCCTGTAATCCTAGCACTTTGGGAGGCTGAGGCAGGGATGGATCACTTGAGGTCAGGAGTTTGAGACCAGCCTGGCCAACATGGTGAAACCCCGTCTCTACTAAAAATACAAAAATTAGCCAGGCATGGTGGTGTGCACCTGTAATCCCAGCTACCCCGGAGGCTGATGCAGGAGAATCGCTTGAGCCTGGGAGGCAGATGTTGCAGTGGGCCAAGATCGTGCCATTGCACTCCAGCCTGGGCAAGAAGAGCAAAACTCCATCTCAAAAAAAAAAAATGCTTTTGTCACTACAGATTAGTTTTTCATTTTCTTTTCATTCATTTTAATGATTTTGAGATTCATGTTGTTGGATATTTCAGTAATTTTTCTCTGTGTTGCAGTGTAATATTCCAGTTGAATCCTGTTGATGTTTCTTAGTTTTTGTGAATAAAGCTGCTATGAACACTTATGCATAAGCCTTTGCATGGAAATATATTTCATTTCTCTTGGGTAAATACCTAGGCGTAGAATGGTGGGGCTGAATCATAGATATATGTTTAACTCCAAATCCATTTTTCCAACTCTGTTTCCCACTGTTCTTCGTACCCACCTTTGAGCCAAACTGAACTATTTACTTTTTCTCAGCTATGTCCTAATATCTCCTGCCTCCTGCCCTTCATGGTATTCCTTTGGCTTAGAACATCCCTTTTCAGATCATTCCAGCTGCATTAGCTTGGTTCAAGTACATCGCCACAAAGGCCTCTTTCTTCCCCTCAGTTAATCATGACCAAGTTAAGCTACACCACTCTTTTTTTTTTTTTTTTTTTTTTTCTGAGACGGAGTTTCGCTTTTGTTACCCAGGCTGGAGTGCAATGGCGCGATCTCGGCTCACCGCAACCTCCGCCTCCTGGGTTCAGGCAATTCTCCTGCCTCAGCCTCCTGAGTAGCTGGGATTACAGGCACGCACCACCATGCCCAGTTGATTTTTTGTATTTTTAGTAGAGACGGGGTTTCACCATGTTGACCAGGATGGTCTCGATTTCTTGACCTCGTGATCCACCCGCCTCGGCCTCCCAAAGTGCTGGGATTACAGGCGTGAGCCACCGCGCCCTGCCTACACCATTCTTTTGAAGATAATCTCTTTTAATTTTGGTTGAGTTCTTGTCTCTTCTTCTAGGTCCTAAGTATCTTTGATCATAGGATCTGTATCCAATTCAGTTTGGTGACTCCCACATGGCCTACCTTGTTTGGATCTTTGCATAAGGCACTCAGTAAATTTTTTTTTTTTGAGACAGTCTCACTCTGTCGCCCGGGATGGGGTATAGTGACACGATCTCGGCTCACTGCAACCTTTGCCTCCCGGGTTCAAGCGATTCTTCTGCTTCAGCCTCCCAAGTAGCTGGGATTACAGGTGTGCACCACCACACCTGGCTAATTTTTGTATTTTTAGTAGAGATGGAGTTTCGCCATGTTGGCCAGGCTGGTCTTGATCTCCTGACCTCAGGTGATCCACCCACCTCAGCCTCCCAAAGTGCCCGGCCTCCGATATATTCTAGATTAATAAGAGATTTAAAATATCAACCAAGCACAATGTATAGACCTCATTTGTGTTACCGGAAAGGGGTCCCAATCCAGACCCCAAGAGAGGGTTCGTGCATCTTGCAGAAGAAGGAATGCAGGGCAGTCTGTAAAGTGAATGCAAGTTTATTAGGAAAGGAATAAGGAATGGCTACTCCATAGAGCAGTCCCAAGGGCTGCTGGTTGCCCAATTTTATGGTTATTTCTTGATGATTTGCTAAACAAGGGGCGGACTATTCATGCCCCCCCTTTGTAGACCATACAAGGTAACTTCCTGATGTTACATGGCATCTGTAAACTGCCATGGCACTGGTGGGAGGGTAGTAGTGAGGATGACTGGAGGTCACTCTCGTTGCCATCTTAGTCTTAGTGGGTTTTGGCTTCTTTACTGCAAGCTGTTTTATCAGCAAGGCCTTTATGATCTGTATCTTGTGTTGACCTCCTATCTCATCCTGCAACTAAGAATGTCTTAACCTCCTGGGAATGCAGCCCAGCAGGTTTTAGCCTCATTTTACCCAGTCTCTATTCAAGATGGAGTTGCTCTGGTTCAAATACCTCTAACATGTGGATCCTGATTGAAACAAACTGTAAAAAAAGAAATGTAAGACATTGATGATATTACAGTTATCTTTTCTAATCTTTTTTACCTTTAGTTTCTTTTTTTTTTCCTTTTATTTTAGGTTCAGAGGTACATGTGCAGGTTTGTTATATAAGTAAACTTGTGTCACAGGGCTTTGTTGTATAGATTACTTTGTCACTCAGGTTTTAGGCCTAGTGCTCAACAGTTATTTTTTCTGCTCTAAAGTCTTAATTTTTTCGAAAACATTATCTCTTGAGATTTGTTTGAAAGCAATACAGCAAGGGAGACAGTGAGTAGGGAGATGGAGGAAACCAAACTGGCCCTGGTTGATAACACTGAAGGGGGAGGACAGGCGCCCAGGTTCCTTACATTCTTGAAATTTTCCATAATGAGAAAAGTTAAAATTAAAAAAATAAAACAGACTGCCCCTCAACCAAGTCTTCCAGACTCCAAAGGGCCTTTTTAAAAAATGTTAGCCCTCGCAGTGGGTTAATATAGTAACAAATGATTAATCATTAACATTTTAGTCTGTGATGGTTTCCAACAGTGTCAGTGAAATGCCTGCCTCCAGCAGCCCCGCCTTTCACCCTTCAGCTCACCTCTCCAGCTTCTCTTTCCCTGAGCCCTACAGCGCCAACATCCCCTCCACTTCCCGGCACCCATCCCCTTGCTACTGCTGCCATTTTGCTTGCTGGAATGCCCCCTCTGCCATCCTCCACTTGGCAGAACCCGCTTATGCTTACCAATCCAGATAAATGCTGCTTCCTCCGTGAGAGTGTCCTCCTCCTCCCCCTTCCCTCCATCTTCTTCCATCTCCTCCTCCCCCCTTTCTCCTCCTCCTCCATCAGAATTCATCACTCCCCACAAAGAGCTCTGATTCTACTGTTCTTTCTATATATATATATATATATATTTTTTTTTTTTTTTTTTTTTTTTGAGACAAAGTCTCACTCTGTTGCCCAGGCTAGTGGGCAGTGTCTTGATCTCAACCTCTGCCTCCCAGGTCCAATCTCCTGCCTCAGCTTCCCAAGTAGCTGGGACTACAGACACATGCCACCATGCCTGGCTAGTTTTTTGTATTTGTAATAGAGACAGCGTTTCACCATGTTGGCTAGGCTGAACTCCTGACCTCAAGTGATCCTCCTGCCTTGGCCTCCCAAAGTGCTGAGATTGCAGGCATGAGTCATCACGCCAAGCCTTTATGTTATATTTTCATATAATATTCTGAGGTTTTCATATAATATTCCAACTTAAATTAAGATGGTAGATTTTTGGCAGATTAACTATTTGGGCTAATCTTTTTTAGCTACTCTAACCTCAGTCAAGGCTGAACAACCTTCATTTAAAGGCACTTTGGCCTTTGGCTGGAGGTCAGCAGGCCACACTCAGGCTGGATGGGCTGCAGGGCTGCAAACTTCAAACAGCTACAGGTGCCGACAGGCCGAGCAGCCGCGGAGAGACTGGCACAAAGGACTGCATATGCCCTGGCCCAGAGTGGTGCCCATCTCCCGGTGCCGGGCACGTGGACCCTAGATTAGGGCTCCTTTAAATGTTCATTCTCGCACCTCACTTTGGATTCATTATTTTATGTTCATTTTCTTAAACAGGGCCTCTCCAATGGTATCATCTTAGGCCGTAGAAAACCTGGCTCCCTGGCTGTGCTTGTAATCCCAGCACTTTGGGAGGCCAAGGTGGGTGGATCACTTGAGCCCAGGAGTTTCAGACCAGCCTGGGCAACATGGTGAAATCCCATTTCTACCAAAAATACAAAACAAACAAACAAACGAAAACAAACAAACAAAAAAACAACTTGACATGGTGGCCATTGACTGTTAGTCCCAACTACTAGGGAGGCTGGGGTGAGAGAATCTCTTGAACCCGGGAGGTGGAGGTTGCAGTGAGCCGAGATCACACCACTGCACCCCAGCATAGGTGATAAAGCAAGACCCTGTCTCAAAAACAAAAAAACATACAAAAAAACTAGCAAGAATGTTGACATCAAGCAAAACAATTCATCTGAAAATAAGAAACTCTTGAGTATGGCCAGGTGGGGTGGCTCGTGCCTATAATCCCAGCACTTTGGGAGGCCAAGGTGGCAGATCACTTGAGATCAGAAGTTCGAGACCAGCCTGGCCAACGTGGTGAAACCCTCATCTCAACTAAAAATATTTTTAAAAATTAAAAAATTAGCGGGGCATGGTGGTGCCCGCCTGTAATCCCAGCTACTCCCGGCTACTGGGGAGACTCAGGCAGGAGAATCGCTTGAACCAAGGAGGTGGAGGTTGTAGTGAGCCGAGATCATGCCGCTGCACTGCAGCCTGGGAGAGAGAGTGAGACTCTGTCTCAAAAATAAAAAAGAAATGGTGGGGAAAGGCCTAAAATCCGCAAATCCACACTTCTGTAGGAGATTGTTGTTGTTGCTGTTGTTTTTGAGATGAGTCTCTGTCACCCAGGCTGGAGTGCAGTGGCATGATCTCGGCTCACTACAACCTCTGCCTCCCAGGTTCAAAGGATCTTCCCGCCTCAGCCTCCTAAAGTGCTGGGTAGCTGGTACTATGCCCAGCTAGTTTTTTATGTGTGTTTTCAGCAGAGACAGGTTTTGGGTATGTTGGCCAAGCTAGTCTCGAACGTCTGATCTCAAGTCATCATGTTGCACAGGCTGGTCTCAAACTTTTTTTTTTTTTTTAAAGATGGGGTTTCACCATGTTGGCCAGGCTGGTCTTGAACTCCTGACCTCGGGTGATCCACCCACCTCGGCCTCCAAAAGTGCTAGGATTACAGGCGTGAGCCACCACGCCCGGCCTTGGTCTCAAACTCTTGAGCTCAAGGATCCGCCCGCCTCAGCCTCCCAAAGTGCTGGGATTACAGGCGTGAGCCACCGCGCCCCGCCTGCAGGCAAAGTTTTTCAGCCTCCCCCAACGTTCTCAACAGGGTAAAAGGCCCCTGGGGACCATCCCATTGCTGCTAGCCGCTAGGAGTCACTCTTTTCAAGACGTTGGGCTGGAAAGATAACCGTGATTACGGTGATAGTTCAAAGGTGTTTATCTGGGTGCTTTTTGGTGCAGTGTCAAATCTCCTGGTAAACATGCAATGAGCACACACAGACTTTTGCGTGGGGGGGGAGGACTTGTGGCTTGGCCCCTCTGCGGATCGCCCTAGAGAAAATTCAAACATCGCTGTTTAGAGCCGCGCCCGCAGAGCTAGAAGAGATTTCTGTGTGAGGACCTGGCGGCACTGGGCAGTGCTGCGGCCAGAGACCCCCGGCCTTTGCCTCCTGCAGGCGCGGCCACCGTTCCCGCCCAGGACTCGCCCATGCACCCCCTCTGCGGGGCTGCGGAGAGCACAGGGGGCCGGGGTTTGGCAACAGGAACCCAAAGACAGCGAGCGCTCCCCAGGCGCTGAGGTCGCTCCGCGGGGCCTGGCCTCGCCCGAGGACCGCTGCTCGCTCCGTGCCCATACGGTTCGGCAGACGCCGCCTTCTTTCTAGCTTCTCCTCCACCGCCATACAGAGCAGAATGTACCCAAACATGCCCAAATTAAAAAAAAAGTAAGTCATCGGCGTTTCCCATTTCCTCTCGTCCTCAACCCTGTCTTCCGGGGACCGTGACAGGAGGCGGCACTTCCTGATGACAGTGTGGGCCACTGCAGTCGCAGCTATTTTATAAACCAAACGGCTGCTCGCTTTGGCCTGGGAACATAAATAAATGACCCCCCCCCCCAAAAAAAAAAAAAAAAAAAAAAAAACGCTTTGTGGTTTGCTGCCCCCGAGAGGCCCTACCTCTGGCCTCTGCCCGCGCGCTCACAGCTGGGAGGTGCTGCCGGGAGGGGGCGCCCGCGGCTCTGAGACGCACTAAAGTGCCAACTTGTCTCTATTGGGAGCGGTTCAGGAAAAGGAGAAAAGGGCAACAGGAAGCAACCATACAGAGCATCTTTGGGGGAACAGTCACGTTTTTTTCAGAGCTAGGAGAATGAGGCAGACATTTATACAGGTGTAGTCTAGCACGAGCCCCACACGTTGCTTAGCGACGCAAGCCAAAGTGCTAATAAAAACCATTAGGATGAACACTTTGAACAAAAGGCAGGTGCTACAAAGTCAATGGATGCCGCCGCATCTCATTATTGAAATGCTTGCTAGCAAAGTGGAAGGAGAGGGAGTCTTGCTTCCAAATTGGCCTTTGCAGAAAGATAACGAACATCCCCGCTGCGGATGGAAGTGGGGCTGTTGGTACATTAAGTCTGATGCTGTTACTATTGTGTAGGCATTCTAACATGGCCTAAGTGATTAGCATGTGTTTATGAACTTATTCTTTCAGCAGTTAAATACGTAATGTACAAAACACTTGCATCGTCACAGAATTGTCTTTATATTTTAAGATCTTCATACATGTATCTGTGGCCACTCTTTTGTATCTTCTTGTGACTACTTTGCCCTATGACTGCCCTCTCCTACCCAAAAGACAGACAAAAGGCAGGGAAGAGGATGAAATAGTGGATGCTAGGTGGGGAGGGTAAACAACTGATAGGTCCTACCTGAAATCTTGCCCTAGGGCCTTCTGAAACCAGCAAACATGAAAATAGGAGTTAGTCAAGCATTGATATTATAGCTCTCAAGCGAACTTTAACCAATTTTGCAGCCACTTCTCTAATGCTTCCCAAAATTAGACTGGGTGATGAAATTGTAATGATTCTATTAAAAGGTGTACAATGAATCAATAACCATAACCCATTAGTTGCACCCTGCTAAGGTATACAGAAAATAAATGCGGTAAAGAATGAAAAATATCCGGATCAGGGGCAGTGGCTCACTCCTATCCCAGCACTTTGAGAGGCCAAGCTGGGAGGATCGCTTGAGCCCAGAAGTTCGGACCAGCCTGTGCAACAAAGTGAGATCCCCATCTTTGTAAAAAAAATTCATACAATAAATAAATTAAAAAGAAAAATATCTGCAACCGGCTAAGAAAAGTATGTAGGTACAGCTTTTCTTTTCGGAAACCAGCTGCTGCATCTACCGGTACGTACAGAAAAGGGCCTTCAATAAATTAACTCTCATATAGCTAACCCATTTAAAATAAAAAGGCCCTGTAATGTTTGGGTGGTGTAGTTCATCAGAAGGTCACCAGAGGGCGCCCAAGTTTGCTTCCCACAGAACCCCGGGGCTATTTGCAGTTCAAACGACTGTGGCACTCAGCCCAGCATGGTTTCAACACCTGGAGGTCCCGTTGCTGGAAAGCATTGTGGAAACACAGGACTGATAACTTCCGTCCCACGGATGTGAACTGGAAGATGGCTAGGCTAATGCTTACTTTCAGATTCGAAGTCTTGACCTTGTTTTCAGTTGTGTTTGGGGCTTAGTAGGAAGTTCCCTCTCCCCGCTCTCAGCTTGTTTCCCTCCTTCAGTATTTTTATAATGATTGTGCACAATGACAATCCCTGGAATAGTGTAATTACAGCCCAGTGCATAGAGCGGTATGGATGAGGGGGATGTGTACATACATCCACAGAGAACAATTAGTGAAATCAGCCCTACCTAATCAACAGAACTTCATCGTATGTTCTAAAGGTTAAAAATTCTCAATACTGGGGCTCCCTTTTTTCTTTCTTTTTTTTGACACGGAGTCTCACTGTTGCCCAGGCTGGAGTGCAGTGGTATGATCTCAGCTCACTGTAACCTTCGCCTCCCAGGTTCAAGCAATTCTCCTGCCCCCAGCCTCCCAAGTAGCTGGGATTAGAGGCATGCACCACCATGCCCGGCTAATTTTGAATTTTTAAGAGAGACGGGGTTTCTCCCTATTGGTCAGGCTGGTCTCGAACTCCCGACCTCAGATGAGTCGCCCTCTGGACCTCCCAAAGTGCTGGGATTACAGGCATGAGCCGCTGCGCCCATCTATTTTTAAATCCACATTTGAATCTCTTTCACCTTGTTTACTGTGAGTCACTGAATCAATTATCTACTGCTGTGTTACAAATAACCCCCAAATATAGCATTTTAAAACAATAATAACTATATATTACCTCAAGTTTCTGTAGGTCAAGAATTCAAAGCCTCTTGGTTAGATGGTACAAGCCTGGGTCTCTTTCATAAGGCTACTGTGCAATGCTGGCTGGGTCTGCAGTCTGCAGTCATCTGAACACCTGACTGGGCTGGAGTATCCACTTCCAGGATGTTCACTCACATGGCTGCTGGAAGGAGGCCTCAATTCCTCACCCCCTGGTTCAGTCTCCCCCATGATATGGTAGCTGCTTCCTCCAGAGTGAGAGCTCCAATAGAAATAAGGTGGAAGCCACAATATGGTTTATGATCTAGTTTTGGAAGTTGCACAACATTTCCTCAATGTCCTAATGGCTGTATGGTCAGCCCTCCTCAATGTGGGAGGGGACTGACTACCCAAAGGCATGAATATCACATGCTGGGGATCATAGGAGACCGTCTTGGAAGCTGGCTGTCATTCACCTTGTTTTCCAAATACATATTTAAGTCTCCTTTCACATGTACAGTTTACCTTACTTATTTATGTTTTGAGATGGAGTCTCACTTTGTCGCCAGGCTGGAGTGCAGTGGCACGATCTCGGCTCACTGCAACCTCCACCTCCCAGGTGCAAGTGATTCTCCTGCCTCGACCTCCCAAGTAGTTGGGATTACAGGTGTCTGCCACCATGCCCAGCTAATTTTTATATTCTTAATAGAGACGGTATTTCACCATGTTGGCCAGGCTAGTCTTGAACTCCTAACCTCAAGTGATCTGCCTGCCTCAGCCTCCCAAAGTGTTGGGATTACAGGCCTGAGCCACCTTGCCTGACCCAATTTACCTTTTTTAATGTAATCATTCCTAAGAATGCATACATGAACCACTGTTTAAATGCATACCAGAAGTTTATTTTCCTATGAGTACAAATTGCTCCCTCTTCTGTACATCAGAAGTAATTTCTCAAGAGGTGTATTTTGGGGATGGGGAGAATGTCCTATCTTTAATAATATATGTATGTTGTTAAACATCTCTCTCGGCCGGGCGCGGTGGCTCAAGCCTGTAATCCCAGCACTTTGGGAGGCCGAGGCGGGTGGATCACGAGGTCAAGAGATCGAGACCATCCTGGTCAACATGGTGAAACCCCGTCTCTACTAAAAATACAAAAAATTAGCTGGGCATGGTGGCACGTGCCTGTAATCCCAGCTACTCAGGAGGCTGAGGCAGGAGAATTGCCTGAACCCAGGAGGCGGAGGTTGCGGTGAGCCGAGATCGCGCCATTGCACTCCAGCCTGGGTAACGAGAGCAAAACCCCAGCTACAAAAAGCAAAACCCCTAAAAAAAAAAAAAAAAAACATCTCTCTCTCTCACAACTGTAAAATTTATGTGTTAAGGAGAAGTTTGCCACCTTCTGGTTGGGAATGTTTTCCTCATTTCTTTCTGCAAATAAACTTGCTAGCAAGTGGCAAGTTATATTAAACAATAAAAATCAATAAAAGTCATCAGGGAGTTACTGGATCGCTTTGTTTTAAAATTAACAATCCCAACCCCTTTTCTTGTATGACCTGACACTAGCCAGCTCTGAAAGGAACTGATTATTCTTTTATTCATTCTTTTGTCAAAAGTAAGAGCTCCAAGGCAGAAAGCTTTCAAGCAACCTGAGAACTGGAAAATGGCTGAGAACTCAAAGTTCTACCCTGCTGAGTGAGCTTGGAGGCCATCAGAAAGTTAAGAGAAGGGTTCTCACACTCAATCAGCAGCCTCCCTCCATTTCTGTCAACAGCAGAGGCAGTGCCCAGGCATCAAGCGATCTTCCCGCCTCAGCCTCCCAAGTAGCTGGGATTCATATGGCTTTTAGAATTACAGAGATTTGAGTTTAAATTCTCCCTTCATTCTCATTGGCTGTGTGAGCCTGGATGTTTTATTTAACTTCTCTAAGGCTCAATTCACCCCTGTGGAATATAGGAATAGCAGTATTTACCTTCCTGGTTAGTCGGGAGGTGATCTATGTAAAGTGCCTATCATAGTTCCTGACCCTACTAGGTGGTCAATATTTAGAGGCCGTTATGGAAGGGGGAGAGGAAGGAATATGGCACCACAGTGATGTGCAAAGGGCGTCTACAGTCAGCTGTTTCTCTCCAGGTGAGATAATGTAAAACACTGACATTCCATAGTATTTTTCTCTTTAGAAAACTGAATAAACTCTCTGGGGAAAATCAGGGAAGTGAGAATGTGTGATGTCCCAAATTTAGGTCCTCCACATGCTGGCATTTCAGGATTCCCAGAATCATGGCTGGCTTCCCACCTGCTCACCCAAAGCAAAGTCTGTTGGTGACAGATCCTGCCCACACAGAGAACTCCTAATCAAACCTTTCATTTCCTCATTTAAAAAATGTGAACAAATAGGCAAGAATCACCAACAGAGCCTTCAGCACGAAAGACCAAGATGAACGAATAGAAAACAGATATAATGTAGGATACAGAGGAGTACAACAAGGCCGCTAGTTAGTGTTCTAGAGAAATCTACAACTGAGCAAACATGAGGCTATAAAAGAACAAAAGAACAAACATGATTTTTATGTTTTATATAACAAATGTGATGCTATAAAAGAGTAAAAGAACAAACATTACTGGCCAAGATAGCAAAACCCCGTTTCTACTAAAAATATAAAAATTAGCTGGCCATGGTGGCACACGCCTGTAATACCAGCTACTCGGGAGGCTGAGGCAGGAAAATCACTTGAACCTGGGAGGCGGAAGTTGCCATGAGCCGAGATCTTGCTACTGCACTCCAGCCTGGGCAACAGAGCAAGACTCCATCTCAAAAACAAAATAAAACAAAAAGACATTGTTTCTAGAAAAAGGAAAAAAAAAAGCTGGGCGCAGTGGCAGGCACCTGTAGTCCAACCTACGTGCAAGGCTGAGGTGGGAGAATTACTTGAGCCTGGGAGGCAGAAGTTGCAGTAAGCTATGATCATGCCACTGCACTCCAATCTGGGTGATAGGGCAAGACCTTGTCTCAGAAAAAAAAAAAAAAAAAGAATGAGAAAGAAAGAAGCAGCAGCTAATTCCCTCATGCAGGAGTTGGTTCTAGAGCAAAACTGTGAAGAAAAAATATAAAAAACAGAAACAGAGAGACTTTGAGCACATTTAAACTCTGAGAGAAGAAAACTTATTTAAAAAGTAAACATCTGGTTTGGGCGTGCTGGCTCACGCCTGTAATCCCAGCACACTGGGAGGCTGAGGTGGGAGGATTGCTTGAGTCCAGAAGTTCGTGACCAGCCCAGGCAACATAGCAAGACCCTCCATCTCCAAAAGTAGAAAAGAAAAACACTTTTTTTTTTTTTTTTGAGACAATGTCTCGCTCTGTCACCCAGGCTGGAGTGCACTGTCACAGTCTTGGCTCGCTGCAACGTTCACCTCCCAGGTATAGGCGGTTCTCGTGCTTCAGCCTCTGGAGTAGCTAGAACTACAGACGTGCACCACCACGCCCTTTTAACTTTTGTATTGTTTGTAGAGACAATGGGGATGGGGTGTAGACTGTGCCCAGCCTAAAATTATTTTTAAAAAGTAAAAGTCTGACCTTGAATAGGTAGAAATAAACCTGTTTGGTGTCAGAAAATTTTCTTTAAGGGTAAAGAAAGTTCACGGCATAGATATCAGAGGTGAAAATTGGCTAAACAGAAGTCGGAGAGGGTTAGTAAGCTCTAGTGTTTATAGAAACTTGGCTCCTCAGGAATTTTCATAGCAGATCTGCAAATGCCTTCGCTCCTAAAGCTTGAGTAGAATCATGATAGACCCCTGGCCTAAACACACCACGACTGAGACTGTCTGATGATGCTGGCCCCTCCCTCAGGGCCTCCTAAAATGGGTGTGGCCATACAGGCACAGGGATCTATCGGCAGAGATGTTCCGTGCTGCACTGTTATAAAGTGAAGAACAGAACAAAACTCAAGTCTGGAAACAGCCTAAATGTGTATTAGGAGAACATTTAAATAATGTTTTGTTCATATCATAAATCCTGTGATGGCTGCTAAAAACGGTAAGGCTGGCAGGGTGTGATGGCTCACTCTTGTAATCCAGCACTTTGGGGGTGGATCGTTTGAGGTCAGAAGTTTGAGACCAGCCTGGCCAACATGGTGAAACCCCATCTCTACTAAAAATACAAAAAAAAAAATATTAGCAGGGCATGGTGGCGCGTGCCGGTAATCCCAGTGAATGGGGAGGCTAAGCTGGGAGGATCACCTGAGCCCAGGAGGTGGAGGCTGCAGTGAGCTGAGATTGTGTCACTGCACTCCAGCCTGGGCCACAGAGTGAGGAGACCCTGTCTCCAAAAAAACCAATACAATAAAATAAATAACAACATCATCATCACCAAGAACCAATATCTATTTGATGATTTCTGTTTACTACTAGTCTCACTCTTCTGACCCCTCTCCCCAGTTTCAAGAACTTTTGTCATCTCCATCGCTAAATCCAGACCTCTAGTCCCACGTCTTCAACTTTAGTGACTGGACTTCAGTTTAAACTCGTACGTCCAGATGGAAACCATCAGTGCTTCCCTGTATCAATCCATTGGAAAAAAATAAAAATTCATTTCATTTGGGATCTTTGTTCTCTATCTCACATATGCATTATTAACTCTGGTCATTTCTTCCTTCAGAACATCTTTGTTCTACCCTTCTTGTCTATTTCTACCTTAGTTCACAACATTGTTATCAGTGTATTCATTTAGCAAGTATTTATTAAGCGTCTCTTGTGTGCCAATCACTGTGCTACCTAAAGGGGACAAACACTAATTCCAAGTTCCACCTCGGTAGGAGGAGCTCACAGTTTAATGGGCCTCCCCACGGGCAGCTCAGTGTCTCCCCTCCATCTTCCGCCCCTGCGCCCCGCTGACCTGCGAGGATAGGCCTGAGGCTCTAGGCAGTTCCAATCGCACAATTCCCAAAAGCCTGTGAGTTTCAGCAGTGCCACTATTTCATAATTCTCACATTTCCCCATAACCTGTTACTCTAGTGCCATTTCCTAAAGAAGAAAATTTAAAATATCCACAAGAAAAATTCTCACGAGTCTCCTTCCTACAGAGCATGTTTGCTAGCAGAGTGACACCACGGAGGAGGCAGGGCTCTTGAAGCATGGAGGATGCTAAGACTGGAGAAAGACCGCGTAGGAGACATGCTGTCACCAGGCCTGCAAGTTCTCTAAGCTCAGTACTTGCATCAAATCAGTCTGAATGGCTGGGCACAGTGGCTCACACCTGCAATCCCAGCACTTTGGGAGGCTGAGGCTGGAGTTTGATCACTTGAGGTCAGGAGTTTGATACCAACCTGGCCAACATGGTGAAACCCCATCTCTACTAAAAATACGAAATCTAGCCAGGCGTGGTAGCAGGTGCCTGTAATCCCAGCTACTCTGGAGGCGGAGACAGGAGAATTGCTTGAACCCAGCAGGCAGAGGTTGCAGGGAGCTGTGATCGAACCAACGCACTCCAGCCTGGGTGACAGAAGGAGATTCCATCCCATCTCAAAAAAAAAAAAAAAAAAAAAAAAGTCAGTCTCAAGATGTGCTGTTCCGGAAGCATAAGCTCAGTTCCTTATTGACAAGCCTTCATTAAGTTATAATGTAATAGAATCAGTAGTCAACAAACGGGCCTATATACTATGTCTTTGCATTATTTGTCCCTAATATTAAGGTCCATGGGGCAGATTTCCTCTATTTTTTGCTTAGGCCAGTCTGAGTTTCCATCGTTTGCAACTCAAGGGACCCACACTAAAAAAAATAAATAACAGGTTTACCCTTACAATATCTATGTACAGTTGGTACTTTGGTTGTACGCTATATTTATAAGGAAGAAGAAACAAGAACTCAGAGACAGAAGCTGTTCCCAAACAGCTGACATTTGAGCCAGTTTTCTTGCTCCAAGGCCTATGCCCTTTTTACTAGAAGTCCTTTCATCTGTATAGGAAGTTCTAAGTAATCTCGATTTTTTTTTCTGAGAATAGGTGTGGTTCACATTGTTTATACATGATAAACAGAAGTAGAGTGATTAGAACTAGTTATGTTTTCATTAAATTATTTCTAGTCTTTCTTTTTAAGATCATTTTAATTTCTTTCAAATCACTGACATTGGGGCCTGAAAAAAACATTAATTTTGTGAGAAGCCCCCCACTTCCCTTTACACAGTTAAAAACCTTACAGTAATCACTAATTACCAGCCCAGCCATCCATCCTTTCCTCTCCCCCGAATCTAGAGGGAGGATCTGTTTCTTCACCCATTATCAAGTCTCCCTAAAGCCAAGTGAGGGGACAGTGTCAGCTGTCAGAAAAACAAAATTAGGCTCCTGCAGATCTGACTGACACAGTTTC